TTCACGTTTAATGGACCATTCAAAGATAATGCATTTGGTAAAAGCCATCCAGACTACTAAAATGGTTTGCAGGTGGTTTACCATGAAAATCATCCAGTTTCAGAGAGATGAAGACAATAACATTAGCAGGAAAGGCAAAGCAGCTCCCTGTGGCTTGGAAGTAGCTCAGCCAGTAGCCTGTTGCTTCCATTCCCTCCTGTCTGCAGCTTCCCACGCTGCAAGAATAAGGAACAAATTCCCACACATTTGTAGGAAAAACAAAACAAAACATCCCATTCTGGATACCAGTGAGTACTTTAACTTTTACAGTACCTTCCATCGAGGGGCTTCCAATTTATGATGCACTGTCGTCAATACTGTATTGAAGTGTTTTCAGTTCTGGGATGCATAGGCAACCAAGTTCTTTCCTTATGCTCAGCCTAGTTCCACAGGCCAACACAACTTTGTACTTTTAAGGGGTTGCAAAAGCACTGGAGGAAGTTCAACACACAATGATGTAGGTTTCTCCCTCTTCTCTCCCTCAAGGATTTTAAATCCACTTCTTAGCAGGCTAATAGGCTAAGACAGGGTTCTGTCCATTTGCTGGGTCTCTAGCAGTTCAATCCATCATAAAAGTACCTCACATTTGATTTCTTTTGAGTTTCATTCCAAAAAGTTAAAGCTCCATAAACCTTAAGTTAGTCCTCATTTTTCTGCCCCAACTCAAACTAACTTCTTTCCCAAGTGGAAAATGTTGGGTAAGCTTGGAATGAGTGTGAGGCCATGTCTATCCTGGCAAATTAAAGCACTCTTGCTTGCTGGCTCAGGGGTATTAAACATGCCCCCTCCCTCCCCCCACGCAGTAAGTCTGAACGTTTTAGTTTAAAGCAATATTGTGGATAAGCTCCGAGCACTGGGAAGTGGATTACCAGAAGTGCTGGGAGAGCTTTCTCCCCACCGCTCGCGAGTGACCACACTCACACTTCAAAGCACTGCTGCGGAAGCGCTGCCACAGCAGCGCTTTGAACTTTCCAGTGTAGACTTAGCTTGATTCTAGAAGGGAATGAGAATAAAGGTCAATTCCTGTTGACTGTTACACCTGTGTAGCCTTATTGACTTCAGGGAGAACAGATTTTTGCAAAGAATGGATTTTGGTCCCTTCTACTCTTTCACACTTCATATAAGCAGAATCTCATTCAATTTCCTCCCCTAAACTCTGAGCACTTTAAGGGGGAAAAAATAAACAAAGTCTGCTTGATTTACAC